GGATTGCAAGTCCGACACGCCGACCACTCGACCATGCTGCCTTCAAGAAGCTCGATAGAAATAAGATTCAAATCAGTAAATTAGATAATGCGACAGCTTCCATACCAGCTCTTACTACTCAGTGGCGAATCTAGGGGAGGGGCACAGGGGCCCAGCCCCGCCCCTTCCCTCTTAGCTCAAGGTCTGGATCCGCCACTGCTATTGTACGCTATTTTTAAAATCGAAACTCCGGTCAGTTGAAAAATAATAGCTTGATAAATTGTAGTAATATCCGATCCCATGACAATACAATGTGGATATATTCCAAGAAAAATTCCATAAATAAGGTGGTAATGAACTTAATTTGGACAATGAGTAAAGAGATCGAAAAAAAACCCTCACTTGATCCCACTAGTAGTGTGATGCATCTCTCCTCAGTTTCAATTCTGAAAAGTGAAGTAGCGAAGACATCAGTTGAAGACTTGCTAATGATGTTTATTGAAGTAATGATAATATTATTATTATTATTATTATTAATGCCATAATTATGTGCATAGCAGAGTTCTATTACAACTCAATACACGACTGGCTTCGTAAGAAGGAACAACAACAAAAAACAAAACAAACACACAAACAAAAAACAATTTCCTTACTTGTCAAATTAAGAAAATTGTTTGATGAAATTAAACGCGTTTTGGAAACGACTAAAAGACTACCTTCGTAGGATATAACCGTTCTGTTCAATTACTAGGTTTGGAGATGATACGGGAGATCATTTTAAATAGCCTTAATGCTGCTTATTTCTTGATTAAGTTGTAAAAGTGAATTTTTGCCAACTAACCCATAGTTATCCATTGCTTTGAAACAAAATATGTGTCTTCCTTTCTGTGATAACCGCGGATTCCATGATACGTTGTTGTAATAGACAGTGTCCCCCATTTGATCAGTGTAGTTCAGGAGGGAGGAAATAACCATGTAAAGAGGTGTGACGGTATTGATCTCGGAAATTCTAGAAAAAAAGTTAAGTTTAGGAGTTCTTGAATGGACAATACTACAATCTAGAAAAATTGAATAACATCTGTTTTGCGAAAGCTAGCTCAAGAAATTCAAGCATCAAGTCTCAATACCTTGAACCTTCAGTTCTTTTAAACTTAAAGCAGCGTGTTTAAGCATGGGCATAGCATATCACTGTCTCATTAATTTTTATATTTTACTTATCTTTGTAAATCAAGATAATCTCAGCCAACGAAATGAGAAGAATAGGTGTGATGAGTTCACCTAAAATGAAAATGCCTCTTGTTGCATGTCATTCACCTTCAGTATTATTTTGAAAGTAGTTACACAAACCTTCTTGAAGAGTCGATATGTTTTGCTTCAATAGTGCAAGAAAACGTATTACCATTTGACACTTCTTCACACGAACCATCATTTGGGCTTTGGCCGATAAGGACTGGGGCCCTGTTGCACGGACCGGAAGATGGACTCACGTAAACAAGAAACTGAAGGCCCACCTGACTGAAAGGAGTGGCGCTTTGGAAATTTGTAGTCGAGGCTGGGAAGTCCTCTAGGGTGATGGCTACTGCATGCCAACCAAGAGCAGCATTGCTGTAGAGACTCAGAGTGCATTTTTCCTTTGCACAATGAAACAGAAAGAGATTTTAACAAATTTAACGAACTGAGGGATTTGTTTACACTCATATGGGCGTATAGCCAAGCGTTAAGACATAAAATATCATGGTTAATACATTGAGGCGTTGGTATTTATTTGACTCGCAGTATCTTTAAGGATGGTAAAGAGAAATCTATCAATTAAACAGGGCACAAAAAAGCTTCGTGACTCTGATTACGCTTTTTAATTTTTGAGGTACCTCGTCCAGTGCTCCACTTTTAAAACTATGACAAACACCACCGCACTCTCTCTGAGAATCATTTGACCATCGACAGCGGACTTTATCACCATCTGGGTCCTCAGCAGGAATAGTGATCGTTTTCGGACAGCCTTGCTGGTGTCGCACAATGGGAGATAATGCTGAGATTGGAGAGGAGTTGATTTTGCCGATATCTGGCCGCACGGTCAGGTTGGCAGTGGTCGAGAGAAACCAATTGCCTCCCCCGTTTGTGAGCGAAATCCAACAGCAGCTTGAGTAACTGAATACAAAAATAAAAAACAAAAACAAAAAAAAAAACAAACAATAACATTTACATTTTATTTTTGCCACATTATCACCTCTAGCATCACAAGCGAATTTTAGTTCCATCCAGGGGGAGTGCAACAACTTTATTTATCTATGTTTTAAAATTAGTTAGTTATTTGGATATGATACTATGTTATGACTGTAGAAGATAGTCTACCTGCGTGTGATGTCGTTCATGTACACGTGAATTTCTCTTCAAGTGAGCTTGAGGGGAAACCAGGACCAGAATTTTGCTCACAGATTACAAAACTACGTACTATAGGGAAAGAAATGAAAGGTCTAAAAGCAAAATAATAAATTGTTTTAACTCGCCTTATGAGCCAGGGTCCTTCATCCGGGAAAGTGTACTCAAAACTGTTTTCACCTTGTGTCCAGTCCTCTTGGACACTAAAGTCTGTGCAGTGATATCCTGTATCTCCCACTCTCATTCTTGAATAATATCTTTTGTCGTGATGTGCCCTCCAGCTCGCTCCTCCTCCCACGATGCCCTGGTTGGCAACCACTGAATTGTCACAGTAGTACGAATTGGAAAAGGATCTTCGGAAACCCATCCGGAAATTAAAAATCACCTAGAAATTAAATAAACCACCTTATTTGGTGTCTACTATAGATGTTTTCGCTATTATTTCAACAATCTAAAGTGCTCCACTCTTAAAATGAGCAACGTTGCCTGATTTGAAAGTATTGTGTTGAAAACGGCAACCGAAAAAATGCTCCAAAAACACTTGATAGGAAGACATTTTATCGCACTGATGTTTTTCGCGAACTAATCCATGTGAAAAGCTGAAAAAACATTCGAACGATCCATTTATCAAATAAAATTATTAGCAAACAAGATTGACAAAACTACTCTTGCGTCAAAATTTGGTTAATAAAACCCAAAGTGACAGGCATTATTATTATATTTCACAATCAGTTAAGATAGTTCTCTCCTTAAGTAAACGTTTACTTCCAACACCCTTTAGAATGGATTTCCGAAAAAACTCGGAAGTTTTCATTAATTGTAAGAATTCAAGTGCTCTTGGAATTGTAGGCCTTTTATTATGACCACTTGTTTGCTTTTCTCCTCAACGAACAGAAAAATATGCACATAACTGACGTTGGTATTTTCTATCTATCAAACGATGGAAACATAATGGGACATGAAATTTTGGGGGAAATTCAACACAAGAGCGTAATGTGCTATACATTATTTACCTTAGCTGAAAAAGCCGATTTCTAATGTCATACAGTGTTACTCTATTTATAGGAGCACGAGAAAACATAATGCGATTTTACTCGATGAAGGTTGAGCGCTCTAGACAATGGACAAAAATTTTGGTAAACAACGGGAAAGCTAAATATACGCTGCCATGCGTTCTCTTGCTAATTATTATTGATACAGTACAACTTTGATCCTGCCCTTCGCATTCTTCAAATTCTCGTGAAACTAGTTGCCGAATTCCAAGCTAAGAGTTTTGAAATTGGAAAACGAATAAGTACGTAGTGCGACGTTTGCATCAAATGAACATCAGAAGGTATGAGAAGTCCGAAAATCTTTCTTTCTGAGCAGCAGTTTTTTTTCACTCAAGGTTTGGTCTCTTTCATAGAAATAAGACTTGATTCTCTCTTCAGAATTTTTACTCTAACTTTCCATAAAATTTATGAAACGGAAAAATGCTACAACAGCGGAGATCGATAAAAGCTCTTGAACAATACCAAATATTGGGATCAGATATTTGGCCGTAAGTAAATATAGTGTAACTCCACTCGAAACAATCAGTAAACTAATGCTTATGGTATGTCCCGACCTTTACGACGCTTACCTAAGTTCAAGATTTTTCAACCTATGTATTAACAAATCCGGCAAAATTATATTGAATCCATATAAAACAAGTCTTAACACAGTAGACTACGAAATGAGAAAAAGCTTATTTACAACGCTTAGTATTCTGGTGTCAATTTTTTTGTCTTTATTTTCAATCCTCGTTTGAGATTAGTTTCACCCGTGCAATATTTTTTCGTTTACCTTGTTCGTAATATTTCCATCCGGCTTCCAGGTTACGATCCCACCGCGAAAATGCGATGCCATCGTCTGACGTAAAAACGTCGCTACGATAAAACTCAGGATCAGGGAAGAAAACATTTTGCCAAATGATTTCGCAGCTGCAACGAACTGACGCGCTGCGCAATAAGGCGTTGACTGATATAAGGTTCTTTTTCGTTAGTTCATGTTTATTTTTAAACCATCTATCTGTTCCAAGAAATGGTGCTGTTTACACAGAGTGAAAAAACGTCCAAAGACAAAAAGTGATGGAGAAACTAATTAAAGTACAGAAGAATCAATCAATCAAACAATCATTTAGTGAGTGTTTTTTCATTCTGCAAAACAATTGCATCATGCAGCAACAATAACGCGTAATTAAGAAGTTTATACACATCACACACTGGGCCAAAATAACGTCAAACTGGACAATTGACCAAGGACAGTTAAGATACCATGGTTCATCTCAAAACGTTCCAAACGTTATTGCACGTCTCGTATTGAAGGCGGCAAATAGCCAAGAGGAATGATCTGTTTACGTCGTCTACTAAGGTCATTATTCATAACCAGCGCGCGTCTCAAACAATGGGCACGGCCGCGTGGCATGCCTGCAAAATCCGAGAAAACGCGCGCTGGTGGCATGTTGAGAGCCCTGGCAAAGATGGGATACGTGGGCAGGGAGGCTGAAACTCACTGAGCTTGTAGTCCAGCGGGATGGGTATTACGGCGCACAAAGCGCGCGTCTCAAACAATAGGCACGGCCGCGTGGCATGCCTGCAAAATCCGAGAAAACGCGCGCTGGTGGCATGTTGAGAGCCCTGGCAAAGATGGGATACGTGGGCAGGGAGGCTGAAACTCACTGAGCTTGTAGTCCAGCGGGATGGGTATTACGGCGCACAAAGCGCGCGTCTCAAACAATAGGCACGGCCGCGTGGCATGCCTGCAAAATCCGAGAAAACGCGCGCTGGTGGCATGTTGAGAGCCCTGGCAAAGATGAAATACGTGGGCAGGGAAGCTGAAACTCACTGAGCTTGTAGTCCAGCGGGGGGTTTCCGATCGACTCAGTTAATTTCTTTAGTCCCCCCTTTATACTCTTTTGGCGACTACTGATCCCCCTCTGTTTCCCTAATAACCCCAAAATTCCCCTCCTCCCCCTCGACCCCACCCCATCCCACCCCACCCCGACCAGGCGCTAAATAATAACTGGTCCCTAAGTTCACAAAGAAGATAAATGAGGTGAGCAATGATTTCTTCGCTTGACTACCCGATAGAGACCTCTATCTTAATCTATAGGCTAACACAACGTCCGTCTAAGGGAAGGGAAGCGACTGTTATAAAAAGGTTTTGGTACTAGCCATACAGGTTTAATAATTTCTGAAGAAATACCGAAAATCTTAACTTCATCGGCAGACAAAGGGGACTCGGCTTAGCTAGTTAATATAATACACCTTGTGCAATTCTATGTGACATGTATTAGGCCCGTCTTGGAATACACAAGTCCTGTATTCCACCGTTCTCTACCAAACTACATCAGCGAAGATTTGAAACGGATCCAAAGAAGAGCACTCAGAATCATCTATCCTGACCTGTCATATAGTGTAGCACTAGAAACAGCTGGCCTACCGAAACTTCACGTGAGGAGGGAAAAAATTTCAACCAATCTGTTTGATGAGATAGTCACTAACCCCACCCATAGACTCCACAGCCTCCTTCCCCAAAGGAAGAGTTGTAGATACGCACTGAGGCGCAAAAGTGATTTCACTCTCCCCATATGCAAAACCGAGCGCTTGAAGAACAGTTTTATTTTTAGCCATAATTATAAGATGTAGACAATTTTCCTTCTTTCTTAACGACGAAGTTGTAATATTTTTAAACCTCCTTTTTATCATCTGTATTTGTAAATATTCCGTAATTCAGCCTATGGCTGCAAGGTGTTTATAATAAAGTATAGTATCTATCTATCTATCTATCTATCTATCTATCTATCTATCTATCCACCTTCGTTAAATTGCACGAATAGAATATTTGTATTCTGCTTTGCAGTTCAAGAAAGACAAGACAGACGGGAGTGGAGAGCTTTTGCTGCTGCTCTATATGCCAGGAGGCATAATGGACAAGATAGCTAAATAGATAGCTTTGCAGTTCATGATGTTTGAGCTGGTTTTACAATTGCTGATGTCTTGTGGACAGCGAATCCATCGAGATGTCGATGAAGTCATCAGTCTCCTCTCTGTCAACGTATGAGGTGATCAGCGGTGTCACCAGATAAAAGCCCAACCCTCGACCAATCACAACAGCGCTGAACAGCCACGTGTTGTATGTCATAGTGATCAACATCAGGAAATATGCGAAGAAAAGCTCGGCCGAAAAAAGACACGTCTTTAAAAACTGAGTGAATGTTTCTGACCTGAAAGTTAAATGTTTTTGGTTTACAAGAAAGAAAAACAGAACGTATTTCTGCAATAATTTGATGACCATGTAAATGTTCAAAAGGCTCTGTCAGAAAAAAAAATTCCAACGGGAGACGATTTTGTGCATAAAAATGTTGAAAAGGAAAGTTTAGGTCAGCGGTAAGTCAGGTTATGTTCACATCACAACTGCTGATAATCTAAACTTGCCCTTTTTTGATTGGCTTCGTTCCTGTTTTTTTTTTTTTTTTTGTCTGTTTGTGTATGGTTTTTTTTCAGGATGTTTCATTAAAAATTTGTAGAGATTTTACAGGTTTATTTGCTATGCGAATATCGGAAAGAAATGTTATATCTTATACAAATAACTTCTGATTTTTTCAATAGGGCGCTGAGTAACCGACCAATCTCCTAGTAAGTTGAATTAACGAAAACCTTACCTAGTATATTCAGAATGAATCCTATTTTTCATCTTAACATCATCTCGTCGTCTTTCTTTCTGGTTTTTAAGGCGTGATCGTAGATACACGTGTAATCCTATTGTACATTCGTAGAGCACAGCCAGCGCCAGAACTGCTACTATAGATCCACTAACACCTGCAAATATAAGAATATTCTTTGGTTGTGTAAACTGAAAATGTCCGGGATAAAATGTGATATTTTGATATTTACTTCTGGGTCAGTCCTTCTTCTCGTGATTCACATTGATTTTCTGCGGCTTAAACTTTACGGCAAGTTTGGCAAGACAGTAATTCTCTTATCACAGTTCCCAAATTACGCTTTTCAGAAGTAAGTTACAAAGAAAAACAGTTTAAGCAACTTATCGAAATTAAAGCACTAACATTGATAAATCAAGTGCGTAATTTGAAGAAAATGTACAAGAGGCAGAATCATATTATCATAAAAAATTGGGGAGTTTTCATGTTCATTTTTTTTTTTTAGGCCCTTTCTCATTAATTTATTCAATTGTTTATTTTTAATCGGATATAGGCTAATTTTGTGCGTTAATTGAAACGGCAAGATTCCTTACTTGCTCAGGTTGACATTAACAGACTATCTAAGGAAAAGTCGTGATTTGGAAATCGCTTTAGAAATCTAATTATAGTGTCCGAACTAAAATATCTCTGTTTCTGCTAAACTAAAGGACATGTGTCCGGTCTTGATCCAATTTGAAGCATCCGTCCTGCTCAAGAGCTCTGGTCTTCCCACGCACGCTCTCGATCGCTTACAATTGCGTGTTGTTTCCCATAAGCTGTTGAAAAACAGGTCAGCGCCGATTTCTTTTTGCAATTGTAAGTTTATTTCAACCATTTTGTCCCTGGCCGAGTTGTCCCTCGGTGATCTTCGACATATCTTCTTGTCCGAACACATGCATCCGGCCACTTTTAAACACTGGAACTTTCTCAACAATAAGACTTTCTTAAGTAGATCACCCATTTTTACCCCACTTGTACGAAATGCATTAAAACTCAAACGATCGTGGACAATCCCAATGAAACTGACAGAATCGATCAATGTTGAAGGAAAGCCCGAATATGAACCATCAAAACCTCTCGTCCTTCCTTGTTTGTTAAGCAAGAGAAAAATAAGATAGTAGGCGAGAATGCTTAACTCATTTTCTCTAGATTCTTTATATCCTTTCAATATCATTCGCTCACGGTACTTGTCCCTACCGAACTAGGAGACATTTTGGGTTTCTTTTACGTCAAATCTTGAATCATCATTTGTCCAAACTTTTCTTTTAAAAATCAACCACCAGACAATATTTTTAGTATCACAAGGATGTCCTCTTTGATTTAAGAGCGATGGAAGATGGTCATCCTCTTTTACAGGTAAGTAATTCGGATATATATTTTTTATCCTATACATTTCTTTGTATTCGTTTCTCCGCAATCCTTAAAGGCTTGGTGAGGTGAAATATGATCGATGTCTCCGATTTCTGGTAATGATATGAAATAGAGATCTGCTTTGGGAGAGCGATAACGTGAATTTTGGACAGAATCACACGATAAGACCCAACACAAGGCCATTTAAAACGTCTTGTAATTACCCATCACCGGACTACTGTTAAACTACTTTTGTTTACGAGACCACAGAAATGCTTCTTTCTCAATCATTCTTTCTCTCTAAATACTAGATGGAACAGGAAACATAACCTCTGCATTTATATAATCATTTACTAATTGAATTCAACGAAAAGGGCTGCTTTCCTGAAATGCAGCCTGGTGAGATGCTTAGTGATTGTTCAATTTCGTTCAAAAGATTTCTTACCTTAATATATATCTTACAGTTAATTAGCTAACAGCATTTCTGAGTTGGACTGAAAATCTCTGTTCAATTTAAAGAAGAGCTGAAGAGATGAAGCTCCGGAAAGTTTTATTATCTTGTGTATATACGTGAAGCATATGAGAGCTGATCAGAATCTGGTAACATACAATGTGTTCCACTTTCGCGTGCGACGAGACTTTCCCACGGATGACCTATGCGATTGTTAGTGTTGAAAGCTCGGGGCGTATAAAATTGGCTAAACTAGTAATAAATATATGTTATTGCATGATTCAGCGTTTGGGCCGGATGTTCCATTACGATACTTGTATTATGCTTGCGAAAACACTGCACCTAAAAAGCACGAATCATGAACGATAAGACCCCACGGCTTTTTTCCCACATATTTACATAATCAGCGATTTTCTCAAGTTTCGCATTCTTAAAGGCGAATCTTTTTGTGTCGGGAAAGCTTCCATAAACTGCCACTTACGCTTAACTGATGGTGGTTTGTGGATGCTTAGCCACATGGTTAATACATTTTGGATGATAAAGCGGTGTTTGCAATACACTGCATAAGTATATTGCGATCTTCGTGAAAGCGATACTAAAACACACTTTTGCGGGTCCATTTGGCGAGACGGATGCGTAAAGGAATTCCGTCAGTTTTATTGCCAAAACTACCAATATCCGTTGTTCTCTCAGTTGGACCCTACAAAATTTATTTCAGAGTGTGTACACATCTGCAAAATCACAACATATATGACTGCGCAAAAACGGCAAAAGCCAAAAACGAAAAAAACTAATACATTAACATCGTAGTCCTCAAGACTACTTAACAAATTACTTATTTAGAAAACAATCTTAACTGAATTAACTAATAATACATAAATGGTTTACTAACCTGATATCGTCGTAACTCTCCATTGTTCAAAAATTATGGACATTTGACGAAGCTCGGTCGTGAAATACATCTGAAAGGTCAGAAGCAGATAGCTTTATTACAGAAATTATACTTGACACCACGCTTTTAGCTGCGCTTTTCTGATCGTCCATGTATGAAAATGCTTTGTTACGGCATCTATAATCCTCAATTTTTCAGACTATTCATTTTCAATGCGTATTACTTCCATCTTGGACCATTTTACATTCCTTTTTTCCTTGTTCTTACCTCTTTTGGGTTGTTGTGCACTCTGAAAAGCAATTGCTTTTAGGTTTCCCCTCGGTATCACGACTTAGGTCAATCAAGGTTTTGTAAATTTGCCAATTCGTCTGTTATATTTACAAGTCACACGTCAGTGGCACTCGAGTTACAAGTTTTATTTGATAGAACGTTAGTAAATTTATGCCGGCTAAACAAGCTTAGTTTTCCTGTCAGTTATCAGAATGAACGTTGTCACTAAAACGCTCGGCATGAGATCGGATTAACTCGAAAATGCAAACTCATTTTCGTTATTAAAACAAGAGTTTTTAAATTTCCTTTGAAGGTAATTCTGAATGAATGCGTTCACAGTAATCGGATCCTTGTGTTTGCTCGAAGATTTCTGGGATCGTCACGGGGTAAATATTGCAGGTTGCTACAAGGAAGTGCATGGCGAAAAGTTTTTGATTCGATCAATTCGCTTTTCTTGTCCCTAACATGAGAAGACACACAGGGCTTGCACTGTAAGTATCGCAGAGAGCTCCTTACTTATAATTTTATTATAAGGAATTGTATGGAGCTTTTTTAGCGTTAGTCGTGGCACGGCGGGTGTTGTCACGTATGATCCTTGCGAGAATCATATGTGACAACACCCACCGCGCCTCGACTAATGCTGAAAAAGCTCCATATACAATTCCTAATAATTTTATTATAAGGAATTGTATGGAGCTCTCCGAGATACTTACAGTACAAACTCTGTGTGTCTTCTCATGAATAGTTTCGTTTCCTCTGAAAATTATCTATTTTCTACCTCTCCTGCCCATAAGCTCCCACTGGGGTAGGAGAGATATTTTCGGTCAAATTCCTTATCAATATAAATGCTTTTCAGAGCTTGTAAATCAGCCCGGACGATATCTTTAGATGACGCCTGCAGGCAGTAAAAAAACAGTAAACATAATGGCTGGTGCCTTACACAGATAAAAAAAAAAACTTCCTTTCTTTGTTTGGCCGAATTTCTGTCATGATTCTCAACAACTGACCATCACGCATTCTCACTGTACATTCAAAAGGAATACTAAGAAGCTTTTGTTTTTATTTTTGGCTTTGTTCATGTCACTCTATTTTTTCTACTGGGAACTACGATGAAAGAAACAAACAAGCTGAACTGGAAAAGATGTAAATTTGGTTTACAAGGCTTCGTGCACTCCTCTGATCGCAAAACACGATTTGCCAGTGAGAACTTCATCATCTTCAGAGAAGGAAACGAAGCTGATCTATTTCCGTTGTCTCGAAACTGATCGAGGCAAAGGAAAATAGATCAGTTAAAAAAAATATTGAAAGCCACATCTTGACTGAAGGCCTACCTTCTATACCAGCGAGAGGAAATATAACGCTACCAAAGGACAAAATGCGTCAATGTACCTTCTGATACTACCGAACCAACTGAAAGAAGTGGATGTTTTCGCCGAAAGGAACATTCCTAAAAGGGAAGATTAAGTATATGATATAAGTGGGTCATATCAGTTAAGTTTTCCAGATCAAGTTCCGTTACTAAGTGAAATACCGACATCACAAATTTACTTCCGTGTTGTAAATAAGTCGCAAAAAATCTCGCACGTCATATGCCAATTTATGGTTCCCATTCGCAACGAGGCTACTGTTATAACACGAAAACAGGAAGCCGTAATTGACAAAGGAAAAAGCAACTGCAGCAATACTGAATGAAATGTTATTGTTTTCATACGTTGTCGGAGAATTCAGTCGGAATTTTGGATTTAGAGGGTCCCTATCTTTCGGCTCCCACTTGAGTATTGCCGATAAAGCGCACAACAGAAAAAATATCCTATAAAAGTCAACTCATAGCCATCTACTCTTTAGTTAGAACTTCTAAAGATATCTCGGTACCCAATACTACAGTGAAACGAGCAAAACACCATGAATTAATATTATTTCAGGTCATTGTATATTACGATAATAGGACTGAGTGGAGTCCAACTCGGTTTGTATTCATACGGGTAGTGATCGATTTACAAAATCAGACAACCGCGAGTATGATTAACAGATCTAGAATTGAACGAAGCGAAATCCTGTTACCAATGAATCAAAACTTTGACACAATTAGAGAAACATACTAGTCCTCGGTTATACCTTTCTACAGAAAAAAAATAACATTAATAACTCGGCGAAACACGCACCAACAGCGGCCGCACATAACGCGCATATGTCCTGTCCAAGTACACAGGCATGAAGCTTCCAACGATGTTGTCCAGTTACAAGCATGCCACGTATACTGCTCACATGGGGCTGGTGATATAAGGAGGCAGCGTGGCCAGCGCGTCGGACTCGTAATCCGCTGCTCCTGGGTTCGAGTCCCGCAGGCTGACCACTATCTGGATTTGTTTCACGGTAGCTCCGAGTTCAAATCCTCGGCCACGCTTGTAAATAGCCAACTGGTTTACCCCCAGCCAGTTGGGATTTTTAACAATTTATGTTCAATTTGAATTATTTATTTCTGTTGTTTATTATGGGCCTCCTGGAAAGTAGCTTGTAGCTACGTGTGGTGCCACATTAAATAAAAACTTAACTTAACTTATAACCAATCATGTTCGAGGATTTTGGTATGGTTTTGATTAGTTTTCTTATGGCAAAATTTCCCTGATATTTTTTTTCCTTCTTGAAAACAAGTCTTACTAGACAAATTTAGGGCAGGATTCCACAGGTTTCTCTCCAAGCAGTACTTTCAATGCTCAAGACGTTTTATTAACCAGAGAACTAGAGAAACATGGCTTACGTATGTTACGTGAATCTCGCTGAAATATCAAATTTTGTATACTACATCTAAGCAATATTACCTTATCAGCCGTCGCGAATCCTCAATAAAGAGATTATCGCGCTTCGTTTCAACACAATAATTTATGCAGTACCTTTCTCGTTATCATGATTAACATCCCCTTTCCCACCCACCCTTCCTCCCCAAAAAAAGTAAAGAAAAACTGCTGATCTGTTCTTAAGTACCGTTCATTAATTATCAGAGGTGCAAAAACAAGAATCCTGGCATAACTGTCTGAGGTGACACCAGACACGAGGCACGTGTCCTTTTATCCCCATTATCATTCGATGGATTTTTCCCCCATTTTGATAGGCTGGGAGCCCACCACGTGGCCTACAAATAATGGTCTGCTCATGCGTACTACCGTCTAACTCCGTTTTTGCTGCAAATAATATTCTGCTCATGCGCAGTAGTAACCACGCTCTTCTGGTCGCTCTTCTGGTCGCTCTTGTGGTCACTCTTGTGTGTAAAAATCATCAGAATCGTTGAACAACAAGAAGACCGTAACAACCATTACGGCAACCTCTTCGATTCCTGTAGCTGAGAGTGCACCGCAACCACTTCTCACAGCCTCTCAGGAAGAGCATATTCTAAATGAGCTAAGTATCAAGCAATCTAGCATGCAGCGGACAGTTAATAACTTTTACAACTGCACTTTCAACTTTTTAAAGTGAACTTTCAGAGATTGTATTCAAGCTAATTCATCAATGAATACATTTTCCCTTTATTTCGGATTTCAAATCCTTGAAGACTGTGAACTTGTTTCTGGAAGTTTCACCCATTTGAAGGCATAAATTTTGTTAATAACAGTTGACTGTACGTACAATTTAAAGTCGAGAGAATAAATTATTTAACTGAGAAGGAAACCATTTGATTTCTGGCAGCAGTGCGCGCTTGCCGCTTCCCCCAAAAAATTGAAAACAAACTCGGTGATCGAGTGATAAAACAATTATTGAACTCGGTTATCGCAAAATATCGTGATTTGTCAGTGTCT